AACTTAATTCAGTTGAAATTTTATTATTTTCAAGTATGTTCGGTTAATTATTAGGAGTCGATCATAAATCATGTTTTCTTTTAATTCACTACGACCAGAACTGTTGAATGTCGGACCACCAATCTTGAGAGTCAACTCATTATAGGGATCAATATCTGCTTCTAATAGGCTATCTCTCTGACTGCCCATTGCCAATTATTGAGCTCCAACCTAACCTAAAGACAGAGGCCTCTCAACCAACTCATAGGACCCGTTCACAACTGATCAAATACAATCGTAACAATAAGACCCCATAGAATTAAATACTATTATAATATCCTAAATGCAAACAAAATAGTACATAAATTTTACCAAAATTATCACTCATCCTAAAAAAATAACTATATTGATCCCAATAAAATAGTAAATTCAAAAAATATTTCGTTTCACAAACTATAAATAATCTAAAAATAGAAGAACTTCTCTTTCCAATCTGATGAGATCTTTTAAATTTGAATTTAAATTTTTAATAAAAATTTATTTAAAAAAAAACATAAATATCTTCCTATAATCTCATTAAATCTCTAACTAACTTCAATTCTACCATTTCATATTATTAAAAAAAAAAAAAAAAAAAAATCGTAGAACTGAAGGCGTAAGAATTTTGGTTGAAGCTTCATAATGACACAAACCCCAGAACAGTTGACACCAAAGAAATCAATGCTGCCGAGTTCGTACGTGAAAACGAGGAAACCCGCAAATGTGGGAAGATTATGTAAAGCTGCAAAACGGGTTCACGACTTGTCTGCCATGGAAGGCGACAATGGTGCATTGAGGCTCGGCGTGGCTGAAAAGAAAGCTTCTGTTGATGTGAAGAATGTTGTTCGTGTTGTCTACAACATTTTCAAGTCTGTTAATTGCGCTTCGATTAACAAGGAAGAACTCGTGCACGAGATTATGATGAGTAGTCTTGATATTACTGAGAGAAGTATGTATGATTTTGTCAATTTGATTTGAAATTTTGCTTTACTTAGACTTGTTTCCTTGCAGGTGAAGTGGAAGAGCAAATTGAGCAGCTCCATGAGTTGGTTCCCAATTGGATCTCCAAGAACTTGACACCTAGTGGGGATGTTACTTTTAGGTCAGTCATTCCAATATCTTTTATTATCTTTTTATTTTTATATTTATATAAATATATACATATATCGTGAGAACTCCGTTGGTACGAAGTTTTTTTGAAGAAACATAAAAACGAAGCACTTTATGATCAAAGTGGACAATATCATATAATTGTTGAGGTTTGTTGTTGTTAACATGGTACTAGAGTCATGTTCTTATCTAACTTAGTCATATCAATAGAATTCTCAAGTGTCGAATAAAAAAGTTGTGAGTCTCGAGAGTGTAACTTTAATGACTTAGGTGTTGAATAGAAATGGTACTTTGTTTGAAGGCTTCAGAGAAGGAGTTGAGTCTCAATTAAGGGGAGACTTCGAGGGCTTTAGAGAATCGAGAATTAGGTCTTAGGGAAGGCTCTATAATGTATTTTATTTGAAGGGAGAACTATTGGAGTCCCACATTGACAAATTGAGGGAAAGACAGGAGTAAATAAGTAAAGAAACTCGGTACGAAGTCATTTAGTTTTGTTCATCGAAACTAAGGGGATTGAGTCTCTTTTAAGTCAAACCTACATGGAACCCATATGCAAACTGAATGCGTGAGAAACCGATAACCAAATCGAGTCGGCAAAAGAATACACAATCTTATTCAACCGAACCCATGAACTACTTTTTTCGATTTTGAACCTAGAAAACTTAAACGATTAATGAACGAGTATAGCTTTAAGGAGACATTGGATGAATCCCTCAATGTCTATATTAACTAGATGTGACCCCCATGAATGCACGTCTATACATGCTAATAACACTGTCACTCGGTGCAGCATCGACTCGATGGAAGACTTGGAATCGGTAGTGGCAAGGACTGCTCGCATTTGAGAAGCTGTCAAAGGTCACCACATCGTCTTGCTTGTTAGATTACATCTGTAGACGACGCTAATTGCAGTGCCCTTTAGAAGCTATTAGGGCATCCTGTTTTTAGGCAGCATGCTGTTTTATCATTTATGTTTGTCTGCTCATTATTATATGTATATCTATATGATATTGGTCGCAATCTTATTTTCACCGAGTAAAACTAGACACCTCAAACTTTCTAACTGCCAGTCCAAAAACGGTATGCTAATAAGTGGTTTCCACACCCTTATAATGTTTCGTTCCTCTCTCCGACCAACGTGGAAACTCAGGCCCACCTTCTCCGACCAACGTGGAAACTCAGGCCCACCTTCTCCGACCAACGTGGAAACTCAGGCCCACCTTCTCCGACCAACGTGGAAACTCAGGCCCACCTTCTCCGACCAACGTGGAAACGCAGGCCCACCTTCTCCGACCAACGTGGAAACTCAGCCTAACTTTCTAACTGCCTGTCCAAAAATGGGTCTAGTAGGAAGTGGTTTCTACACCCTTATAATGTTTCGTTCCTCTCTACAACCAAGGTGGAAACTTAGGTCTAACGTCCTCATTGGCACACCACCTGGTGCGTGACTCTTATACCATTTGTAATAGCCCAAACTCAACGCTAGTAAATATGCTTATCTTAAAGCATAACAGATTATAATATCTTATTCAAATAAATAATATTTAATCAAACTTCAACGATGATCTTATTGTTGAGGTCATCAGATTGGATAAACTATTAAATAAGAATTTGAGATAAAAATAAGAATTTTTATATTTCATTTTTCAAATTAGAAATATGGATTTTTTAAAATAATAAAAAAAAATTCGGAAATTTTATCCATTTAAAACGTAAAGAAGAAGGAAACCCCTAGATGTTTCAAAGTCTTGACCATTCCCAATATTCAAATTTATATCATTAAAGTATAAAATACAATCACATGAATTGCCAATAGTTTGAATTTAAAAACTTATCTCTATGAACGAATCCGACGTGGCCATCCTTAGAACATGATAGGCTCAAAAATATTTTGAGTGTTAATTTTGATATAAATTGTTGAATAATTTTAAAATTATTGGCTCTAGTCAAATTTTGTTTATTCAATGTGGATCCCTAGTTTTCTTAAAAAACAAGTAGTTGTTTGGGAATTGTTTTTTAATTTTTTTTTAAAGATAAATTAAATTTATTAACATTTTCTCTATTTAATTATTTTTTTAATATTATAAATTTAATTTTTTAAAATTATAATGGAGAGATTAAAGAGTTGTTAATTTCAAAACTTTTAAATTTTATGAATTAAACTTGTAATTTAATATTTTAAATATACTCTCAGAAAATAATATCGACTCTCTACTTTCCTATAAATACAAACATTTCTCAGTCTCATTCATACACCAAAAAAGAAAAGTATGAAGAATTTCGCGTTACTGTCTTTTCTTTTCATTCTCCTTGCCTCTGAGGTCCGCGTCTCCAGAGCCGACGCCTCGCCGGACGCCGTCCGCGACATCGACGGCAAGAAGCTCCGAGCCGGCGTCAACTACTACATCCTCCCTGTTTTCCGCGGAAGAGGCGGCGGCCTAGCCCTAGGCAACCTCCAATCGGACAAATGTCCACTCAACGTCGTTCAAGAACAGTTTGAATTAATGAACGGCCTTCCCGCGGCATTTTTGCCTGTAAACCCTAAAAAAGGGGTCGTTCGAGTTTCGACGGATTTAAACGTCCAATTCGAGGCCAGTACGATCTGCGCCACATCGACGGTATGGAAATTGGACAAATTCGACGAATCGACGAAACAGTGGTTCATCACGATCGGCGGAACGAGAGGAAATCCAGGCGTCAAGACGGTCGACAATTGGTTCAAAATTGAGAAACACGGTAACGATTACAAATTCAAATTCTGTCCGACTGTGTGCGATTTCTGTAAAGTTATGTGCAGAGATGTTGGAATCTTCTTCAAGAACGGAAAGAGGGCTCTGGCTTTGAGCGATACGCCATTCCCTGTCATGTTCAAGGAAGTTTAATTGGAAGCTGGAAGAGATCTCCAGTGTGTATTAGTCACGAGTTTGTGAAGTAATTTGTCATAAGTCATAACAGTGTTTATCTAAATAAAATATTTTGTAGTTTATTTACCTTTTGAAGAATAATAATTTGCTTGATAATGTATTTTAATTTCGTTTCCCATTAAATATAATTTTTCCGCCCTTTATCAAAGTCAAAGCATATTTCCTTAATTGAAAAGTCAAAACTTTTATTTCAAATACTTTAATTTTAAAAATCTCCGTTTCCATTAAAAAATTTAGTTTTTAGGTAAATTCCAATTTTGTTGGTAAATTAATATGTAATTGCAAAAGTAAAATGAGTGTTTAATTAATTTATTAGTTGAATTTTCAGATATCATATCTTTAAATCTCATTTTTATGTTAAATAAATTAAAAAATTTTAAATTCTTTTAATATTTTTTTTTTCAGTAAATATTTATTATCATTTTTTTAATTTATATTTAATGGATCGCCATCATATTTTTTAAAATTCACACCTCTATTAAATATAAAATTAAAAATTTATTGTTCATAGATAAAATATTATTATTATTAAATGAATATATCATAAATCTATTACCAACCCATTTCAATAATTTCTTATTTTATTCACATTTGTGTGATTTTTTTTTTGTTTTTGTTATTTTATTTATTTAAACAACATTATTCTTATCCCACAGTAATACAAAATTGATTGTTTCAAAATAATAATAATAATACAAAACTTGATATATTGTATTTTAGAAAAATCAATATATTATTCACATATTTTTAAAAAATTAGATCCAAAGATGAGAATGATTTGAAATTCTTAATTAGAATTTATATCATTAAAAATATAATTTTTTTAATGAATGCTTAAATGAAAAGAAAAGTACTATTTTACCATTATACCCTCATATATACAAATCAAAATTTTGTTATATATTTATAGTAAAAAAATAAAATAAAATAAATAAATAAATAAACACCCTACACGTCTGCCGCCTTCTCTCCCCGCCCCTTTTAATTTTTCTTCGATTTTCCCTCGCCCATCACCGTAATCACCGCCAAAGCCCTACGCGACTTCGATTTCTCTCTCTGCCCTCGTATCTCCCTCGCAGCGGCAGGTACACGCGAACTGTTTCTTTTCTCTTATCTCCCTCTGCCGTCGCTTGTCGCCGGTCGCCGGTCGCTGGCACACCCTCACCACCACTTTACTTTCTTCTCATCATTCTATCTGTAATTGCCTCTTACTTTTGGCATAAGTTAGCAATAATTTATTTCGCAGGAAGATTTTTGAAGTTTGACTCATGGATCCTCAACCTGAACCAGTCAGTTACATCTGTGGAGGTAAACTTGTTGTGTTTACTGATTCCATTATTCAAAATCTCCCGAGTATTTAGGTTTTGAAGTTCTGTAATCGGATGCATCTATTAATCATGATCAAGTTACTTCGACTATATTAAGACATCGGGAATTTAGAAGTTTGTTGATTCGAGTTTAGATTTAAAATACCAGCCCTAAATTTTCACCTGCTTAACTATGTTTTGGATCTTGAGAACTGTAAAATCTATGTAGATTGTGGAATGGAGAACACTCTGAAGCAAGGTGATGTCATACAATGCCGAGAGTGTGGTTATCGTATTCTCTACAAGAAGCGCACCCGTCGCAGTAAGAAATAATTCTACTGTTTTGTCTTTTTTTTTCAAATCATGAAAATGTCGTCTCTAAATATGATATTTCCTCTAAAGGATGTTTGGATTTTCAAATCTCGTCCAAGAAGATGTTTCAGATTTTCACACGACTGACTAAAATTTATTTGAAATAAGACAGATTTGGGGTTTTCATTTAATCGTAGAGTACAAAAGAGCCATTGGGTTGAGCAAACCTCCTAGTTCCGTAAATTTTAACAATTTCCAACCATGGATACAATGATTTTCCTCATTAAGCGGAAAAGAAACTGAATGAACTATTGAGTAGATATTGAAGATGAGTAAAACAAGTCAGTTGAAACTATGGAACTGGTAGCTAGTTGAAACTATGGAACTGGTACTTTGGCCGGCTTTGTACTTAGTTGGTCTAGTTCTAAAGTTGATTTCATTGCATTTGGGCCTGCTTGTTTGAGTACTCTGTATGAGCTGAATGATCAGCTATGTTTTCACTTCTTTGCGTCTGTTTTGAATTCCTTTGAGTTTATCACACTATCATCCATTCTGATTCTTGAATGCTTTCTACCCTTTTCATAGTTCATTTGAAAATTCCAAAAAATGGATCATCTATAGGAATCGTGTTATTAACTCAGTTTGTTTTAAAGTTTATGGATTGCATGTATTTGCAACTATTGACTTTGTAGTGATTCAACTAATATATGTTAGAAATCACGAACCTCTACAGTAGTATGATATTGTCCACTTTGAGCATAAGCTTTCATGCCTTTACTTTTTGGCTTCCCCAAAATGTCTCATACCAATGGAGATAGTGTTCCTTACTTATAAACTCATGATCTTCCTCTTAATTAGCCAACGTGGGACTACACCTCTCAATACCTCAACAATATATTCTCAACATATTGCATTTTATCAGAACCTATTCTACTCAACCTTTGGGGATAATTGACAGACAAAAGCATTTCTTGGAGAATGCTTGTTATCTTTTATGACTTGGGATGCTCTCTAATTACAAGTCTTGCGATTAAACGTAGATTCTCTCTTTATGGACGGGTTAAATCATCCATTTTAGTTATTGGAGACCGTTCTTATAGTGTAGCTCAGTCACTGTTTTTTGTTATGGGTTTGATTTTATTTGGGTTGGTTTTTTGTATTGTCTTTGTAGTATATCCTTTGTTTTGCTCCATGAATGTTTGGTTTTTTTCATTTACAATAACATGCATCTCATATTACTTTCTTTGCCCTTGATATTTATCTGCTTCTTTCCAAATTTGAAATCTAATCCGATTCATGCTTATTATCACTGCAGTTGTTCAGTATGAGGCCCGCTGAAATGCTTAGTCTGGCGTTGGACTTCTAGTATCATGAATATTTTGTTAGTCTTTCTTAGGAAAACAAAATCGAACTTGATATGGCCTAAGGACTTGCTGTAATGCAAACATGATGATAATGCTGTCACTATAGTTTGCTTAAATATGTGTCATTATCCTCGTGAGATAAGTTCATGTCCTACTGGTAATATGAATGGTCAATTCTGCATACACTGGAAGGTTCACATCTGCATTTCCACATCAACATTTGATTCCTATTCCATTTGCCTTTCTTGTTAAATGAAGTTATTTTAAAATTATTATTATTAGTTTATTCATGGAACGTGTGAACATTTTTTTTTAATATCTTATTGATTGTAATATGAGGTGGGAGTTCAAAAGCTGGAGATTTTTAAAGGAAAAGTAGAGATGCCAAATTTTGCACAATCCATCAATCATTGAGTTGTGCTTTACGTCCATTCAATCATAGATTCAACATTTGAAATAATAATCAGAATCACGTTTTTTTTTTTTACTAATTAGTGTCTTATTCTTTTAATTATGTTTGAATTAACTGGACCTTTCCCTACCAGACTAATAATTGACGAGAATGGTATTTGAAACACTGTTTTAGTTCTTTGGACTTTGATTTTGGTTAATTGAATATTCAATTTAGGAATTAAGCATCTATGGGTCTATTTGATTTGGTTATTTTGTTCAATTTTGGTCTATTTAATTTGTTTTCATCTGGATTTTTTTGTCAAACGGTTCGGTTCGAAGTTCTATAAACTTCGGTTCGAGTTTTATTTTTATTTATTTATTTTTGCATAATTAATATGTGTTACGCGTGGAATTTAATTCGAAAATAGTAAAATTGATTGATTCCTCCACTAGATCATTGGCACTCACCATGCGGAGGATATTAGTGGAGCGCACCCAACTCTCTGCAACAATGGGGTCCACTTGCCTTCCCACTTTTTCAGCTTACTTATCCCCATTGCCAATTATTGGTCTACGTGTCAACTTGTTATTTGTTATATTTTCTTTTTATTTTATTATATGCCTAAAATCAGAGCTATTTTAGAGTCTTGATAGGTAAAAATAAATAAAAAATCAGAAATTTAATATTTTGGTCAATTTTATATCTTAACCCATTAAATTAATATATTTTAAATTTGTACTTAAGTGAGCAATGTAATTGATAAATGTTTAATTATAATATATAGAGTGAGAGGAAAAAAGTTAACGTGTTTACTATCTCATGTGATAACCATTAAAGTTAATTATCCTAAATTTTAAAAATTAAAAATTAAAAACCAATGTCATAAACTTGTTTTATTTTAATTCATTATTAATTTTTAGGGAATAATACACAAATTTTAAAAGTTTTTTTTTTTTTTTTTTTTGCTTTAAAGGTATTATTAGCGAAGCTTTATTACATTTAAATCACATGTAAATTATGAAAAATAAAATTTAAAAACATGTAACACTCCCAAATTCTTGCTTTTGTAAAATAAGACAATCATAAGTAACTTGAAAAATATAACCAAGCAAATATCTCTCTGCCTAATTTGCATTTTTAAAAGCATACAGGCTGTTCTAAAAGAAAGAAAGAAACAAAAATGAAAGCTGACTTCTTAACCACCCTTGACATATTAGCCTTCCTAGGATAAAATATTATGAAAGCTGACTTGTCAACGTGAACGTTGACATCACTAAGCATCATTGAGACTTAATAATTCTTAGTTGGCATGGTACTAGCTTGAGTTGTCACGGTAAGCATTTTAAGTATATAAATCATTAGGTAAGCCCCGCATCATTGAGACTCAATAATTCTCAGTTGGCATGGTAAACTTGAGTTGTCTCAATAAGCATTTTGTGTATAAATCATTAGGTAAGTCCCAATAAAGTATTATAAGTGTATCAATTCAAGTCCACTGCTAGAGTTTTTTTGGGCTTTCCCTTTCAAGGCTTCCCCCTTAAAGTTTTTAAAATGCGTATGTTAGGGAGAAGTTTCCACACTCTTATAAAGAATTTTACGTTCCCCTCTCCAATCGATGTGGGATCTCACAATCCACCACCTTTTGAACCCCGGCATCCTTGCTGACACTCGTTCCCCTTCTCCAATCGATATGGGATCTCACAATCCACCCTCTCTTCAGAGCCCAGCGTCTTCGCTAGCACTCGTTTATCTCTCAAATCGACGTGGGATCTCATACATAATAAACCTTGTATTGAACCCAATAAAAAGGCTCAAACTCATTCCAATGAGTCCTAAATTGATGTAGAAACATAAAATTCATATCGTCGAGAATCAAGATAATGAAACGAGATGCAATATTGTGTTGGAAGAACTTTAGCTTAGAGTAGAGGCTAGGTTGAATTTGAGGACTCGGCCTAAAGTAAAAGCAAAGTAGCTAAAGTCACCAATGAAGAAATAGACACGTGCATTGAATGTGTATGGTCAAGTAAAGCTGCAAACTTTGTTGAGAATGAAAGAACATTGTCTAATACATTATAGTTCTTAAAAAGACCTAAACCATTTGGTATATTTAATCATAAATTAAATTAAATTAATTTTGATAATTTAAAAAGAAAAGGAGATACAGAACCCAATCTTATAGTATAGGCGATGCAGTAATCCGAGAGTGAAATAATTGGAGACGTGAGGGAATTTCCACGGCCCAAGTTGGCGACTCCCATCACTGTCGACATCATGATTCCGCCCCAAATCGCCGACTTGGAAGTCAATCGGAGAGTAATTTGGGCTATTCTTTTGTCTCGTCCCCAACAAATTTCCATCCACGTATCAAATGATAGCAACATTCCCAATATTTATGCGGTTCCAATGAATTCCGCTTCTTTGGTTCAGTTCATCGGAAGTTCAGTTTCCAGTTCTGATTCTAGCCTCAAGGTCGTCGATAACGAGACACTATGGAGGAGAAAGGAGTGGATGGTCGTGTAGTAAAGCGTTTGGATTCCGAACGCAGTTCAAATTCGATGAACAGGCAGAGATTTGGGGAAGTGAGTGGAGTGCTATCCATCGAGGAGTTCTTTGAGGACCAAGAAGTGCCTCCATGGAGGAAGCAGCTGACGTTTAGAGCTTTTTTCGTTAGTTTTTGGCTGAGCATTTTGTTCAGCTTCATTGTAATGAAGCTCAACCTGACCACTGGTATTATACCTTCGCTCAACGTATCTGCTGGTCTATTAGGTTTCTTCTTTGTCAAGTCATGGACGAAATTTTTGGAGAGGTCAGGCCTCTTGAGGCAGCCTTTCACCAGGCAGGAGAACACTGTCATCCAAACCTGTGTTGTTGCCTCGTCTGGCATCGCTTTCAGCGGTTTGTCCCTTAACCATTTCATTCACTGGTTGTAGATTCTTGTTCACGCTTAATTTAGACGGGAATACTAACTTCGATTTCAAGTTTTCATTATTGTTCCATGTTTCCCCTCGTTGGTTTGTTGTCGCGTGTTATTGGCGCAGATTTTTGCGAGCTTCTGTGCTCAAATCTGTGCCATAATCGTGATTGCTTCAATTCTTTTAGATGGAATTTTGATAACTGCGATTTCTCTGCGATTTATCTGTCAAACCTTTTTTGGGCGAATGATTGCCGCTTGCTTGTAATTAACTTCATATATTTATTTTTGTGCTTGTGGCCTTGCTTTTGTTAATGGTTTCTTCTAATGGAAATAGGTGCACTTGCATAACCTACAAACAACGAGAAAACTTCTGTTCCAATATAAATTGTTAGCAGAACACCGTCATATAATATACATATTGTAGAAGTTATAGACAAAGATGGTCTTTGACCATACCTTTGAAGCTCAGCTATCTGTGGTACAGTTTTTCCTTGGCCTTCCATCACCATGAGCGATTTTCAATTGAAGAAAAGAATTTCTCATTTGCCCAGAAATCTGTGACACTTAAATGACTACTCTGCTCTGAGAAATGAAAAAAGAAACCAGTTTTCTTAGGCTATTTTTACACCAAGCTTTCAAGTAAACTTCTATTTGAGACTGATAATTGTTTCTGGTGTGGGAGAATCCCAATGGATTATTATTCCACATCATTGGAAATTATAATTCCTGATTTCTGTCAGACTAAATTGTACTCTTTGATTATTTCAATTGACAGGAGGTTTTGGAAGTTACTTATTTGGAATGAGCGAACGGATTGCTCATAGATCATCCGGCAGTAAAGATTTCAAAGATCCATCATTAGGATGGATTATTGGTTTTCTATTTGTTGTTAGCTTTCTTGGCCTCTTCTCAGTTGTACCCTTGCGAAAGGTATGATACCTTGTTGCAAGTTGCAACAAATATTTTCAGCTTCTTACAACTAAAGCTAAGTGGGGTTTATCCAAAATAAGCTATGAAACTTCAATGCAACAGCAATTAATGTGAAGAAATTAGCATACGAACAACTGCAACGTTATGCATGGTGAAGGAACTTTCAAAGGAAATTATATCACACAAGATACCTAAATTCCTTCATATAGGGCTTCTATGAATGCTCTTTCTATGGAGGAGATTGTTTTGTTCCTAGATTCTAGATGATATATTTGGTGATAAATAAACATTGTAACTATTCCTCTAGGATTCAACCTGATTGGAGTGTTCCTTTTTTTTTTGTTCCTCCTTCTTCTAGATGTTCTATATAGTGGTTGAGTGGATTTGGATAGGCATTTCCTTTCTCCTCCTGTACTCCTTTTTAAGTGGATTGTTTCTTACTCAAAAGATAGAAAAAGAACAAGATCTTTATGTTCCATTTAACAAGTTGATGTTGCAATACTTGTTGGCTTGAAATTATCCATTATTATCTTGATCACTTTGTCCTGGGATTAATTGCAGATCATGGTCGTTGACTTCAAATTAACTTATCCAAGTGGTACTGCAACTGCTCATTTGATTAATAGTTTCCATACTCCCCGAGGAGCTGCACTAGCAAAGTAATATGTTGTCATATATAATTAATTATAATGATACTCAAATGAAAGCCGTTCTAATATCTACCTTTTTTTGTGCCTGATCTTGTAGGAAACAGGTGAGACTGCTTGGCAGGTTTTTCTCTTTGAGCTTCTTGTGGGGCTTTTTTCAATGGTTCTTTCAAGCTGCAGATGGTTGTGGATTTGCACATTTTCCAACATTTGGGCTCCAAGCACGTGCAAACAGGTATTATATAGCTATAGTTCCTTCACTTCGATTGTTTGACTAATCCTCTATTGCTTCAATGAGCTCGATAGCTATATCGTTTATATATCCTTTTACGTCGATTTATGAAGAT